CAGCAGCAGCAGCAGCAGCAGCAGCAGCAGCAGCAGCAGCAGCAGCAGCAGCAGGGGCAGCAGCGCAGCAGTAGCAGCAGCAAGAAGAGCAGCACCAGGGGTCCGCTACAGCAGCAGCAGCGGCGCCTGGTGCTGCTGCTGGCTGGATGCAGCAAACAGACACAAGTACAAGTACTTCAGGGTTAGGGACTTCGGGGACGAACAGGTAAACCCTAAACCCTAAACCCTAAACCCTAAACCCTAAACCCTGAGCTTTAGAGAAACGCTAAACCCTGGGCAGACCGTCAGCCTTAGATATGCCCTAAACCCTAGCTAGGCGCTGGCCCTAGGTAAACCCTAAACCCTCGGTAAACCCTAAACCCTCGGTAAACCCTAAACCCTAGGTAAACCCTGAACCCTGGGCAAACCCTAAACCCTAGATAAACCCTAAACCCTCAATAAACCCTAAACCCTCGACCGTAGCTGCATCTGACATAGGGCTCAACAGACGCAAAGTACATTACCTCCATGGCTGCCGCTTATTCATTTTAGGGTTTAGGGTTTAGGGTTTAGGGTTTAGGATTTAGGGTTTAGGGTTTGGGGTTTAGGGTTTGGGGTTAATGCTTTTAGGCGCGGCTGCTCGCGGAGAAGTACTGGAGCCTCAAAGTAGCAGGAGGAGATGCGGAGCAGCAGCAGCAGCAGCAGCAGCAGCAGCAGCTGCAGCAGCAGCAGCAGCAGCAGCAGCAGCAGCACGGTCTTGAGTCCCCTGCGTCTGCTGACTCTGTGTCTGTCTCTGGCTGCGGCGGCGCAGCCGCCCCAGCCGCAGCAGCAGAAGCAGCAGCTGCTGCTGCAGCGTCGCCAGCAGCAGCAGCAGCAGCAGCAGCAGCAGCAGCAGCAGCAGCAGCAGAGCTGCCAGAAGGGGTTTACTCGCGAGGGTCTGGGCTGAATGCTTCTTGGATTTGTCGCTGGTCTTCGGGGGGCCGCAAATACAGCCGCAGCTTTGCTGCTTCCAAGTAAACCCTAAACCCTAAACCCTAAACCCTAAACCCTAAACCCTAAACCCTAACGGCCCGCCGCTACGGGCCCGCACAAGCGCTGGGCGGCGAGGAGCTTCACCCTTAAAGCTGCTTCGCCGTCGATGGATCGGAGCTAGCGTTTGAGATTAGGGTTTAGGGTTTAGGGTTTAGGGTTTAGGGTTTAGGGTTTAGGGTTTAGGGTTTGGGGGTTTGTTCAGGTACGGCCCTGCAACGGCCCGAGAGTTGGCGCTGAAGTTCCGGCAGCAGCTAAAAGACGCAGAGGCAGCAGAAGGCAGCAGCAGCAGCAGCAGCAGCAGCAGCGCGTCTGCTGCAGCAGCAGCAGCAGCAGCAGCAACGCCGGACACAGAAGTGCTGTTCACCACGGACCCCGACCCCCCCGACTCCAGCAGCAGCAGCAGCAGCAGCAGCAGCAGCAGCAGCAGCAGCAGCAGCAGCTGCTGCTGCGGCTTCCGGTTTGACGCGGAAGGGCTCCGCTGGATCTGCTGGTGGAGGTCCGGAGCAGCAGCAGCAGCAGCAGCAGCATTTGTTGTGGGGCGGTATCCTTTTGCTGTTGCGAAGAAAAAAGCTGCTGCTCTTTTTCAGTCTAGGGTTTTGGAGCTGCAGCTGACTAGCGGCTGCAGCGGGAGAGTGCAGACGAAGCAGCTGCCTGCTGCTGCTGCTGCTGCTGCTCTCGCTGCTGCTGCTGCTGCGCAGGCTGCGGAGCAAGAGCAGCAGCAGCAGCAGCAGCAGCAGCAGCAGCACCTGCTGCAGCAGCAAGACACAAGGTCTCCTGAGGACACGCCCAGAAGCAGCCCCGTCAGCCTCAGGGGGCTGCGGGAGTCCGCAGCAGCAGCAGCAGCAACAGCAGCAGCAGCAGCAGCAGCAGCAACGGCAGCAGCAGCAAAGATTCCTCCCGTGCTTCCTCCGTTTCTGCAGCACCTGCCGCAGGCCTTCGTAGCCGAAGTGGTTGCTGCTGCAGCAGGAGGCGGGTTTGCTGCTGCTGCTGCGCCTCCTGGGGCTGCAGATTCTGCTGCTGCTGCTGCTGCTGCTGCTCCTGTTACTGCTGCTTGTGGCCCGTCGGTGTCTCTGGACTCTCTCGACCCCTCTGACCCAGCAGCAGCAGCAGCAGCAGCAGCAAGTGCTGCTGCTGCTGGCGTGCGGGGCTGCGTATACTACGAAGCCTCCGGCAGCAGCAGCAGCAGCAGCAGCAGCAGCAGCAGCAGCAGCAGAGGTAAGTGGGTTGCCAGCTGGGTCTCAGAAGGATTCACCCGCTGCAGGTTTTTCCCCGTTGCAGCAGCAGCAGCAGCAGTTTCTGGCTGGGCAGCAGCAGCAGCAGCAGCGCAGCAGATGGCTCGCGTGTGGCTACAGCTTGTCCTGTGCAAGGCAGCAGCAGCAGCAGCAGCGGAATCGGCGCATGACCAGCAGCAGCAGCAGCAGCAGCAGCAGCAGCGACAGCAACAGCATCAGCAACAGCAAGGGCAAGCACTAAGTGCGCAGCAGCAGGAATCTAAACAGCTGCTGCATCTGCAGCAACCGCAGCAGCAGGAGGCACAGCGCCAAGATTCTCAGCAACAGCAGCAGCAGCAGCAGCAGCAAGAGCAAGAGCAACAGCTGCTGCAGCAGCGCCAGCAGCAGCAGCAGCAGCAAGAGCATGAGCAACAACTGCTGCAGCAGCGCCAGCAGCAGCAGCAGCAACAGCAAGAGCAACAGCTGCTGCAGCAGCGCCAACAGCTGCAACAGCAGCAACAGCAAGAGCTGCAGCAGCAGCAACAGCAAGAGCTGCAGCAGCAGCAGCAGCAACTTTTGCAGCAGCAGATGCAGCAGCAGAAGCTGCAGCAGCAACTGCAGCAGCAGCAGCAGCAGCAGCTGCAGCAGCAGCTGCTGCTGCCACCTGTGAAGGAGGAGCCTTCACAGCTGGCTGCTCGGCCCGCAGCATTCTCCGCATTACTTTCAGCAGCAGCAGCAGCAGCAGAACAAAAGGCAGCTGAGCAGCCAGGAGCAGCAGCAGCAGCAGCAGCAGCAGCAGCAGCACAAGTAGCACCCGAGCCAGCCGAAGCGGCACCAGACGGGGCAGCAGCAACAGCAGCAGCAGCAACGGCAGCAGCAGCACATGCAGCAGCAGCAGAACTGGAAGCGCTGCAGCAGCACTTGAGCTGCTGCAGCGGCCGCCCTGGTCTCTCGTTTGCTGCTGATAAGGGACAGTGGATCATCGACACAGTTAAGGCCCTGCCTGCTGCTGCTGCTGCTGCTGCAGCAGCAGCAGCAGCAAACAACAGCCTCCTCACTTTCAGTGTGCACACTCTGGGGTGGCAGGGGGCCCGAGCTGCTGCTGTTCGCTGCTACGACGAATTGGCAGCAGCAGCTGCTGCAGCAGCAAAGACAGCAGCAACAGCAACGGCAGCAGCAGCATCAGCGACTGCAGCAGCGGGTGCTGCTGCTATGGAGCCTGCGTGCAGCAGCAGCAGCAACTGCAAGGATGGTTCTGCTGCGTTTGCTGCTGGTGAGCCCGCAGCAGCAACAGCAGCAGCAGCTACTTCTCCCTCAGACGCAGCCACGAGCCCAGCAGCAGCAGCAGCAGCAGCAGCAGCAGGTACAGCAGCTGCAGCAGGGGTTAAGCAGCAGAGGGGAGGTGGGGGCGGGCGGCAGCAGCAGCAGCAGCAGCTGCCGTCTCTTGAGGAGCTGCTTGCTGCAGTGCAGCGAGTAGATGTCCCCTGCGAACCAGCAGCAGCAGCAGCAGCAGCAGCAGCAGCAGGTAGGCGCCAGCTTTCCCACAGTCTCAGCGGCGAAGCGCTGCCTAGCAGCAGCAGAAGCAGCAGCAGCAGCAGCAGCAGCAGCAGCAGCAGCTGGACTCTACAGAATCTCTTTAGGCCGCACCTCCGCTTCAGCCGCAGCACAGCAGCAGATGCATTTAAGGGGGGCGCGTGGAGACTTGAGTGGCTGCAGCTGCGGCAGCAGCAGCAGCAGCAGCAGCAGCAGCAGCAGCAGGAGCTGCTGCTGCAGCAGGTGAGCTGGCCGGTGTACGTGCAGCAGGTGGGCGAGCAGGCTGCGTTGCTGCTGGCTCTGAACCTGCAGCAGCAGATTGAAGCAGCAGCAGCAGCAGCAGCAGAGCCGCAGGAGCTGCAGCAGCAAGTGCAGCAGCTGCTGCTGCAGTCCGTCGCGCTGCAGCGGGAGTGCATCAGCAGCAAAGGCAGCAGGAAGCAGCAGCTGGAGCAGCAGCTGCCCACCAGCGTGCTGCAGGCAGCACAAGCTGTGCGGGACAGCAGCAGCAGGAAGCGCCAGGGAGCAGCAAAACTGAGTGTTGCTGCTGCTGCTCCTTCTGCTGCTGCTTCTGCTGCTGCTTCTCCTGTTGCTTCGCTCACAATGTCTCCCGCTGCAGCACATATAGCCTCCCCCGTTGCTGCAGCAAGTGCTGCTGCTGCTGCCTTAGATGGAGCAGCAGCAGCTCCGCTGCCGCCTGCTGCTCGGGCAACTCCCCTGTCATCAGCAGCAGCAGCAGCAGCAGGACCTGCTGCTGCTGCTTCGGGGGCCGTACAAGTAGACGCAGCCACGCTAGCGCTCCACGGGCGGCTCCTGCTGCTGCAGCGGCAGCAGCAGCAGCAACAGCTTCTGCAGCAACAGCAGCAGCAGCTTTTGCAGCAGCGGCAGCAGCAACTGCTGCTGCAGCGACAGGCATTGTCGCTGCAGCAGCAGCTCACACCGGAGCAGCTGCAGCAGCTGCTGCAGCTGCGGAGACTGAGCGAGCCATCGCAGCAGCAGCAGCAGTATCTGCTGCAGCAGCAGCTGCTGCAGCTCCACCTGCAGCAGCAGGCGCAGCAGCAAAGGCTGCTGCAGCAGGAGCAGCAGCAGCACAAGAAACCCAAATTAGACACAGCAGCAACAGCAGCAGCGGCAACGGCAGCAGCAGCAGCAGCAGGAAGCTGTGGGAAGTCTCCCGATGTGGCAGTCAATGCACTGCGCCCTGTGCAGCAGCAGCAGCAGCAGCAGCAGCAGCAAGTCGACCTCTCCATACCCCTGGCCCACGCAGAGAGCAGCAGCAGCAACAGCAGCAGCCAAATAGGTCTTTCTGCCTCTGCTGCTGCAGCAGCAGAATGAGTGGCCTGCACAGCAGCAGCAGCAGCAAACAGGCGCTTCAGTATTTTTCAAAAGAAGCATTTTACTATTTTTTTTGCTGCTGTTTTCTAGCAGCTGCATTTCCTGTTTTTTTTAAATCACTTCTTACTAATTAATTTTACTATTAACTTATTTATTTATTTATTTATTTATTTATTTATTTATTTATTTTATTTATTTATTTATTTATTTATTTTATTTACTTTTATTTTATTTATTTATTTATTTTATTTGCTTTTATTTTATTTATTTATTTTCTCGAAAGACTAGCAGAAGTGAATGGCAGAAGAAATAAATTGCAAAGACAAACGGAAGACAATAAATGCAAATAAAAGTTTTAAATAAAATAATAAATAAAAATAATAAATGACAGAAAGTAAATAAATAAATGTCTAAATAAATGAATAAATAATTAAATAATTAAAAATAAAAAGAAAAATAATAAAAGAGAAAAATAATAAATTGAAGAATAAGAAGTAGAAAGGGAGCGGAGCAGTAGATTAAATTAAAGAAATAAATAATTCACAAACAAATAATTAAAAGTAAATTAATTAATTAAATTAAATAAATTGAAAATTAAATGAATTACAAATTGGAAAAAAATAAAGTTTCGTTGCAACGCGGAAGGAGCAGCAGCAAACTGACTGCCGCTGCTGCTGCTGCTGCTGCTGCTGCTGCTGCTGTTGCTGAAGCTGTTGCTATTGCTGCAGCAGCTGCTGCTGTTGCTGCTGCTGCTGCGCACTTTACTATTGTTGCTGCCTGTGCTTTGCTTCTTATTAAACCAAACAAAAAGAGTCTAAATTCGAAATTGAAATCCAGACATACGAGGAGGTGAGGAGGTGTCTGCTGCTGCTGCTGCTGCTGCTGCTGCAGCAGCAGCAGCAGCCACGGCACAGCTGTCTGGGACGCTGTTTATTGAGAACTCAGCAGCAACGGCAACAGCAGCAGCAGCTGTTGCTGTTGCACAAGCAGTTGCTGCTGCTGCCGATGCAACAACAGCTGCTGCTGCTGCTGCAACAGCAGCTGCTGCTGCTGCTGCAGCTGCTGCTGCTGCAGCAGCAGCTGCTGCTAATGAGCGAAGCTGTTAAGGACGCGTTTGTGGGGAAAGTGGGAAGCAGCTGCAGATACACCGGAACTGCTGCGGTGTACATGCACCGCCGCGGGTTTGCGGGGGAGTTTTGAGAACAAAAAGACAAACTTTGAGTTTATTTGCAATAAATAAATATAAATAATATTAATTGTGATCTCTAAATGCAAAAAGCTGCTCTTTTGGCTTCCAAATGCATGCAAATTGCGGTGTATGTGCAGCTGTGGTGTATGCGCAGCTGCGGTGTATGCGCAGCAGCAGCAGCAGCAGCAGCAGCAGCAGCAATTCGAATTGTTTTCGCCATTATAATAACAATTTTGAATTCTTTTTATTATTATTCTTCTTTTAAATAATAATAAATCCAAAAATAAACGAAAAAGAATCAAAAAGAAACACAAAACCAGGTGTCTGGACACAAACAAACGGAGGCAGCAAATGGCGCATTTGCTTTCACCCTTTTTATTTCTTTTTTATTTCATTTGAGCCATTTGTTTATTATTTATAATTAATTAATTAATTAATTAATTAATTAATTAATTACAAATAAATAAATAATTAATTAATTAATTAATTAATTAATTAATATATTTATTTATTTATTTGTTACTATTCCTTTTGGAGCCAACTGCAGCTCTAGCTGCTTCACAGCTGGCCAAAGGGCAAACACGCATGCTGCTGCTGCTGCTGCTGCTGCTGCTGCTGCTGCTGCTGCAGCTATTGCTGCTGTTGCCGTTGGTGCAGCAGCGGGCGCCGCTGCTGCACTGCTGCCGCTGCTGCTGCTGCTGCTGCTGCAGCTGCTGCCCCCCAGCCTCGCTGCTGCTGCTGCTGCTGCTGCTGCTGCTGCTGCGCCTACGCCCCGCAGCAGGCGGGGTCGAGTTTGTGGGACGCGCCTGCTGCTGCTGCTGCTGCTGCTGCTGCTGCTGCTGGTGGTTTGTTTTGGAATTTGTGGCTGAGACAGAAAACCCCAAACCCTAATCCGAGACAAACAGAAATAAATAAAAATAAATTAAATGTCATTACAACCAGCATCAGCAAGTAGTCGAAGGCGTAGACAGCTGTATATACACCCGAGCGCAGCAGCTGCTGCCGCCACGCTGCAGCAGCGCCCGCCTTCCCTGCTGCTGCTGCTGCTGCTGCTGCTGCTGCTGCTGCTGGGGGGGCACTGGTCCACTGGTCCACTTGCTGCCGCAGCAGCTTCAAAACCACCGAAAACGCCCCCAGCAAAAACCATATCACGCAAGACAGCCAAAACGACACGTCCTGCGCACAAACCCTAAACCCTAAACCCTAAACCCTAAACCCTAAACC